TGAGTCAGTGTATGATGTGTGAGTGAGTCAGTGTATGATGTGTGAGTGAGTCAGTGTATGATGTGTGAGTGAGTCAGTGTATGATGTGTGAGTGAGTCAGTGTATGATGTGTGAGTGAGTCAGTGTATGATGTGTGAGTGAGTCAGTGTATGATGTGTGAGTGAGCCAGTGTATGATGTGAGTGAGTCAGTGTATGATGTGTGAGTGAGTCAGTGTATGATGTGTGAGTGAGTCAGTGTATGATGTGAGTGAGTCAGTGTATGATGTGTGAGTGAGTCAGTGTATGATGTGTGAGTGAGCCAGTACATGATGTGTGAGTGAGTCAGTGTATGATGTGTGAGTGAGTCAGTGCATGGTGTGTGAGTGAGTCAGTGTATGATGTGTGAGCGAGTCAGTGTATGATGTGTGAGTGAGTCAGTGCATGATGTGTGAGTGAGTCAGTGTATGATGTGTGAGTGAGTCAGTGCATGATGTGTGAGTGAGTCAGTGTATGATGCGTGAGTGAGTCAGTGTATGATGTGTGAGTGAGTCAGTGTATGGTGTGTGAGTGAGTCAGTGTATGATGTGTGAGTGAGTCAGTGTATGATGTGTGAGTGAGTCAGTGTATGATGTGTGAGTGAGTCAGTGTATGATGTGTGAGTGAGTCAGTGTATGGTGTGTGAGTGAGTCAGTGTATGATGTGTGAGTGAGTCAGTGTATGATGTGTGAGTGAGTCAGTGTATGATGTGTGAGTGAGTCAGTGTATGATGTGTGAGTGAGTCAGTGCATGATGTGTGAGTGAGTCAGTGTATGATGTGTGAGTGAGTCAGTGTATGATGTGTGAGTGAGTCAGTGTATGATGTGTGAGTGAGTCAGTGTATGATGTGTGAGTGAGTCAGTGTATGATGTGTGAGTGAGTCAGTGCATGATGTGTGAGTGAGTCAGTGTATGATGTGTGAGTGAGTCAGTGTATGATGTGTGAGTGAGTCAGTGTATGATGTGTGAGTGAGTCAGTGTATGATGTGTGAGTGAGTCAGTGTATGATGTGTGAGTGAGCCAGTGTATGATGTGAGTGAGTCAGTGTATGATGTGTGAGTGAGTCAGTGTATGATGTGTGAGTGAGTCAGTGTATGATGTGAGTGAGTCAGTGTATGATGTGTGAGTGAGTCAGTGAATGATGTGTGAGTGAGCCAGTACATGATGTGTGAGTGAGCCAGTGTATGATGTGAGTGAGTCAGTGTATGATGTGTGAGTGAGTCAGTGTATGATGTGTGAGTGAGTCAGTGTATGATGTGTGAGTGAGTCAGTGTATGATGTGTGAGTGAGTCAGTGTATGATGTGTGAGTGAGTCAGTGCATGATGTGTGAGTGAGTCAGTGTATGATGTGTGAGTGAGTCAGTGTATGATGTGTGAGTGAGTCAGTGTATGATGTGTGAGTGAGTCAGTGTATGATGTGTGAGTGAGTCAGTGTATGATGTGTGAGTGAGTCAGTGCATGATGTGTGAGTGAGTCAGTGTATGATGTGTGAGTGAGTCAGTGTATGATGTGTGAGTGAGTCAGTGTATGATGTGTGAGTGAGTCAGTGTATGATGTGTGAGTGAGTCAGTGTATGATGTGTGAGTGAGTCAGTGTATGATGTGAGTGAGTCAGTGTATGATGTGTGAGTGAGTCAGTGTATGATGTGTGAGTGAGTCAGTGTATGATGTGTGAGTGAGTCAGTGTATGATGTGTGAGTGAGCCAGTACATGATTTGTGAGTGAGTCAGTGTATGATGTGTGAGTGAGTCAGTGCATGATGTGTGAGCGTGTCAGTGTCGGCTCCCTCTGCTTGTGCCGTCGCCCCGCCCCCCCCCCAGCTCCGTCGCCCCCCCCCGGCTCCGTCGCCCCCCCCCCCCGGCTCCTTCGCCCCCCCCCCCCGGCTCCATCGCCCTCCCGCTGGCTCCGTCGGCCCCCCCCGGGCTCCGTCGCCCCCCCCCCCAGCTCCGTCGGCCCCCCCTCCAGCTCTGTCACCCCCCCAGCTCCGTCGGCCCCCCCCCCCTGGCTCCGTCGCCCCTCCCCGGCTCTGTCGCCCCCGACTCCGTCGCCCCCCCCCCCCGACACCGTCGGCCCCCCCCCCACCTCCGTCGGCCCCCCCCCTGGCTCTGTCGCCCTCCCCCCAGCTCCGTCGGCCCCCCCCGGTTCCGTCGCCCCTCCCCAGCTCCGTCGCCCCCCCCCGACTCCGTCGGCCCCCCCTGGCTCTGTCGCCCCCCCCCCCCCAGCTCCGTCGCCCCCCCCCCCGACTCAGTCGGCCCCCCCTGGCTCCGTCGGCCCCCCCCGACTCCGTCGCCCCCCCCCCGACTCCGTCGCCCCCCCCCCCCGACTCCGTCGCCCCCCCCCCCGACTCAGTCGCCCCCCCCGGCCCCCCCGGCTCCCTCGGCCCCCTCACAAACGGCCCCGCCAGCCGCCGCTGTCCGCGCGCGCCTCAGGCGGCCATCTTGCGGCCTGCGCGGGCCTCTGGGCCGTGAGGCTGGCGTCGTGCAGCGTGAGGGCGTCGTAGCGACACAGCGGCTCTCTGTAGGCCCCCCGCACGTCTCGTAGGCCCCCCACGTCTCGTAGACCCCCCGCACGTCTCGTAGGCCCCCCACACGTCTCGTAGGCCCCCCGCACGTCTCGTAGGCCCCCCACACGTCTCGTAGGCCCCCCACGTCTCGTAGGCCCCCCTGCACGTCTCGTAGGCCCCCCACACGTCTCGTAGGCCCCCCACACGTCTCGTAGGCCCCCCGCACGTCTCGTAGGCCCCCCACACGTCTCGTAGGCCCCCCGCACGTCTCGTAGGCCCCCCACGTCTCGTAGGCCCCCCGCACGTCTCGTAGGCCCCCCACACGTCTCGTAGGCCCCCCGCACGTCTCGTAGGCCCCCCGCACGTCTCGTAGGCCCCCCGCACGTCTCGTAGGCCCCCCGCACGTCTCGTAGGCCCCCCACACGTCTCGTAGGCCCCCCGCACGTCTCGTAGGCCCCCCGCACGTCTCGTAGGCCCCCCACACGTCTCGTAGGCCCCCCGCACGTCTCGTAGGCCCCCCGCACGTCTCGTAGTAACCAGCACTGCAGGTGAAGGAGGAGGATTTGGTAGGTTCCATTTGGTAGGTGACAGGTTGTGGAGGGAGGCTCATTGCACATACTGTTCACTTTATTACTAAATTAGAACTTAAACACCAAATTACACTAACTTAAACTTCACATTTTTCACTTAACAATTCATGTTTACTTAAATACTACATTATGTTACACCACATTACTCGCTGTCGGACGATATCAGCTGATGTGGCACCTCGCTGCTGACAGAGGTGTCTGTGGAAGAATATCCAGAGACTGAAGGGGCACTGCGCTGAAGGCCTCACTGCTGGTAGAATGTAGCTTACACCCTGGGTGCTTGTGACATGGATTTAAAGGAGTCAGAGATGCAGACGACATTTCTGAGAGGGTTGGCTTGCACAGATTGCATCAACATGGTACAAAACAGCCAGTCTGCACTAACGCTCGCCACGCGCGCTGAGTCGTTGCATTGGCCGTGGCGCGCGAAATTGGAGAATTCGGTACGGCAATAACTAACACTGCATATGCGCTGAAAGAGCAGCCGTGCCGAATTATCCACAATTACGAATGATAAAATAGCGAAATAAAAAGGTTTTATTGTACAGGTTTTCCTTGCTAGACGCGGCTTCGGGTTGCGCAGGTTTTGCGCTGTATATGCAGTTAACCAATTTCTACCCAAAAATCGCTATGTGCGGTGTGAATTCACTCGTACGCAGCTATGTGATCAGAAGTAGTACAACGTTGTGTGTGTACTGTGTATAGTGTGTGTGTACTGTGTGTATAGTGTGTGTGTGTGTACTGTGTGTATAGTGTGTGTGTACTGTGTATAGTGTGTGTGTACTGTGTGTATAGTGTGTGTGTACTGTGTGTATAGTGTGTGTGTACTGTGTGTATAGTGTGTGTGTGTACTGTGTGTATAGTGTGTGTACTGTGTGTATAGTGTGTGTGTACTGTGTATAGTGTGTGTGTGCTGTGTGTATAGTGTGTGTACTGTGTGTATAGTGTGTGTGTACTGTGTGTATAGTGTGTGTGTACTGTGTGTATAGTGTGTGTGTGTACTGTGTGTATAGTGTGTGTGTACTGTGTGTATAGTGTGTGTGTGTATAGTGTGTGTGTGTACTGTGTATAGTGTGTGTGTACTGTGTGTATAGTGTGTGTGTGTACTGTGTATAGTGTGTGTGTGTGTACTGTGTATAGTGTGTGTGTGCTGTGTGTATAGTGTGTGTGTGTGCTGTGTGTATAGTGTGTGCTGTGTGTATAGTGTGTGTGTGCTGTGTGTATAGTGTGTGTGTACTGTGTGTATAGTGTGTGTGTACTGTGTATAGTGTGTGTGTACTGTGTGTATAGTGTGTGTGTACTGTGTGTATAGTGTGTGTGTGTATAGTGTGTGTGTATAGTGTGTGTGTGTACTGTGTATAGTGTGTGTGTACTGTGTATAGTGTGTGTGTGTACTGTGTATAGTGTGTGTGTGTGTACTGTGTATAGTGTGTGTGTGTACTGTGTATAGTGTGTGTGTACTGTGTATAGTGTGTGTGTGTACTGTGTATAGTGTGTGTGTGTACTGTGTATAGTGTGTGCTGTGTGCGTTACTCGGCAGGCAGCCGTTTCCTCGTGTGGTTTCGCTTTGTGAGACATTTTTTTGTAGTATCCATCTACTACTACCACTACTACAGCATAAAGCGTGGGGGACAGTACCGTCACAGGCACCTTGTGTGCGATATTCCTCAGGGACTGCCAAGAGTCCTCTGTATCTAAGGAGAAACTCTCACCGGCGTGCTCCCCCAGTGCTGCGAACATGGCTTGTAGAAAGTGGGTAATTGTCTTGTAAACCGGAGAATGGTCCGTGTTCGTGGCAAGACATTGTAAAGGAAATACACATCTTAATCGAATATCTTAAGGTACGTATTATTATTTGCATTTATTTACAATACAGAATGGCAAAGACTCGAACATGCGACATGAAGCATTAAGCCAGCAGTACTGACAGCCTGGGGTCCATTCCAGGTTTCACCTATCTGGTTTCTCCTGAAGTCAGTTTTTCTCTGCCTAACCATCGACATTCATAACTGTATGTGTTCATGCATCCGTAAAGTTAGCGCATTGCACTGCAGATCCATTGACCCATTCAATTCCAACGACCAGGCAACGTTGCTGACGAATGTCTGAACTGGTCTTGTGAAATACAAATTCAACATCATATGAAGATACATATTCAGTTATATTTAATTTGCATTTATTATCAATACAGAATGGCAAAGACTATAACATATGACATGAAGCACTAAGCCAGTAGTATTGACAGATTGGGTTCGAATCCGGGTTTCAGCCACCGGGTTTCTCATGTAGTGAGTTTCTCTGCCCAACCACCGACATTCATGACTGTGTACAGTATGTTAATGCGTCCGTAAAGTTAACACATTTTCACTACAGATCCAACGCCTCGTTAAATTCCAGTGACAATACATGAAATAAATTATAATCGGAATCCAACATCATATGAAGGTACATATTAAGGTACATTTTATTTGTATTGAATCACAATACATGACAAAGACTAGAACATGCGACAGGAAGCGCGAAGCCAGCGGTGCTGACATCCTGGGTTTGAATCCGGGTTTGAGCCACCCGGTTTCTCCTGTACAGGTGACCCCCGCGCCAATGACCTTATTGGTTCCTGGACGACGGTCAGCAAACGCAGCAAAAGGATGCAGCATTTTTTTGTGAAATTTGAAGAAAATGCACAACGAAGTGAAGAACGTTGCGAAAGAGCCGCTACTGCGTTCGCTCTAGGAGTAGCTGCAGACTGTCGATGAATGTCTGAACTTGTCTTGGGCCTCCCCTAGCTCGACTCTGCCTTAAATAAGTAGCCAGAGCAGTATGTGAGCATCAGTTCTGGGGAGGCAAAAGTAGCCAGGGGCATGGTGTTGGCCACCCACCCTGTTGTGTGCCATGCCAGTATTCATTGGTGATCAAAGACAGAATTTCCAGCTATTTCATTGAGGTTATGTACAGTTATGGGAAAACGATATTGCCTATTTAAAATGTTTAACACATTTTCTTGAGCTCCTTCTGATGCTGGAACTGGCAGGCTTTACAAGTCTGTTCCAGCCCTTGCATCTATAGCGTCTGACGTGGGTGGTGGGGGTGGTGGCAGCCGTGGCATGGGTGATGGATCCGGTGGTGGCGGTGGGGTTGGCAGTGGAGGATCTTGTCGCGGTGAAGGAGGTGGCAGAGCTGGCAGAGTTTATGATGGCATCGATGGGCCTGTGGATGCATCGAGCGGCATCCGTGCAGCACTTGGTGACGGTGCTGACAGCTCCGGTGACGGTGGTGGCGGATGTGCCGACGGCGGTGATGTATCTCTTGATACATCCGAAGGCCAGTTTGAAGGACATGACGATGTTGGGGGCGCCGTGGACGGCGGTGATGCATCTTGTGGCCAGATGCTTCATTTCATCGACGTGCTGCCGTGCGAGTTGCTTCCGCTGGGTGATCAACTCGTCCTCTTGCTTCTGCAGCTGGCAACGCAGCTTCTCGATCTGGAACCAGAAGGATTCGTTCTCGCGGTGAAGTCCTGTGGTGTGGGAAATTGGGGGACAGGGAATGCCATGCGGTTACTGATACGTACAATTGTTTCCGGCATTGAATTTAGATTCTTTATTATTTTTTATCCAAAATATATCATGGTTTCGCATAGATTCTGGGAAGATGTGCCATGCCTTCGCATGTAGCCCTTTCACAATATTTCCTGGACGTATTTAGCGATAATAACGGTAGTGATCCAAGGCTAAAGTGATACTACAGGGCTGAAATTGTAGCTCTGAAAGGGAACACCGGCCAGAGAGACGCCAAGCTGCGTCCTCTTAGCCGTTGTTTGTCAGTCAGCTTTGGGCCACTGGTTGATTAAATTTGCCAATTTTGGTTAGGATAATCACCTCATCTACGAATCATGATGTATGTTGAACTTCTTTCACACCGTACGTAACCAACCGTGCTAATTGGGAGTTAGGCTATTACATTTTCACGATGTAATTATAGGGATAGTTTTCATTAACTCTGCAATTGTATTTCACATTTGTATCGTATGTTTTGTGCTTTGCTGTACTTCAAGTACAAATAAAAAAGTAAATTACCGGTTTTTTATTGAATTTTACTCAACATCAGCCTGTCATGAGTCTTCAAATCATAGGGATTATGTATTGGCCTATGAATATCATACACACAACGTCTGGAGATGCTTCTTCAGCTTCGAGAAGTTATCTCACTTTATCTCGCTGATCACTTTATCTCGCTCGTTACTTTATCTCTCTTGATGCAGTGTTGTAGAGTTCAAGATGTGATTTGCGGATAGACAAAATAGTAGCAAGTTTTGATTTAAAGCTTTCGTGACTGCATTAATTCATATTCTTAGCTCTTTCGGTAAAGTCACGTTGAAGGGAAACAATAAAATAGTAAAATATATATAAAGCAATAAAAATTCTCACGACGTTTCGACCATAACACAAACGGTCGTCATCAGGTGTGAAACGTGAGAATTTTTATTGTTTTTTATATATTTTATTGTTTCCCTTCAACGTGACTTTACCGAAAGAGCCAAAATATAGTAACAAGTTTGTAAACGAGATAATACTGTACCATGCATGCTGTCAGGCACATAAATCGTTTAAGCAAACAGGCTTTGAAATATACGTCATTAGCAATATTGTCTGTCAAGAAAGACCCATAGGCCTCGGTCGCACTCCGAGACATGTAGACAGATTAGAGACCCATAGAGACATAGACTCGTTCACACAGAGACCGGAAGACATGCACAGAGATACACAGTCGCACAGATGCCCAGACACACTGAGACTGACTCATATATATACACCTAAACACATAAGCTCACTCACCCAAAGACCCCTCTATAGCCTTAGAATATTTTTGGGGTAATTGCTGTTAGTGAGCACATTTAAGGCCGACACAGCACACAAAGAGGTGTTATGTAAATGGTAAACACCACGCCCGGCCGCCTTTGTCTCCCTGGTTTGCAATATTTACACATCGTACAGTACCAAATACTAATTTGAGGCTGAGTCGACCTAGGGGATGCCCACGACAGGTTCAGATAATCGTCATTGTTTGTGGCCGTAAGCGTAAATCGAACTCGGGTCGCCAGGTTCATAGGGCTAATCACCGCGTCACTAACACGGACAGCCATAGACACGCACAGAGGTTAAACAGAGACCAACGCACGGGGTTGTATGCCGGTACTCACCACGGTTCCTGCGGAAACAGACGGTGAGCAGGCTCAGAAGCATCACCGACATGAGCCAGGCCAAGAGCAGTACGGCAGTCACTGCCGCTCCGGTCACGGCGGGATTCGCAGAACGTGGCAGCTCGCAAGAGCAGCTGGCGCAGGGGTTGAGGGCATCGTCTCCCCAGGCGCCGAACCAGCCGTAGATCATGTTCACCAAAGAGACGAGCCGTTCACCAGGACGCGCCATTCTTCGCGTCTCGCCCGTGCCCGTCGTCCGTGCTGCGTGCTTGCTCGCTAGTCGCTCGCTCGCGTCAAACCGTCGTGCGTGACGTCACCATCGACGTCACTCCCGGCTGTGACGTCACTAACTTCTTGTCACGTGGCCACACATGCAGTGACGTCACACACCACCGCGCTTTCAACGGCCCCGATATTTATATTGTACACCACGCTGATTATTCTGTGCTATTAAAAAAAAAGTAAAAAGGTTCATTGCCCACAACGTCGCCTGTTGGATGCTTTCTTTTAAGGCCACCGTGTTACTACTGTACTGACGAATGCGTTGAGCGTTCGGTGAATGTTGTCGTTGTGATGCCGTCACTTAAGTTGAGTTGACACTAGAGGGCGATCTAAGCTGTGCGATGAACAACTGCGATTCGCAACGAAGTACTACGACTGTGTTGGTAGTGGTGCCGTAACCACGGCACTTGTGCCAGGCTAGGTGCACCTTGAAGCTACATGAAGTTATCAAAGGCTCGATGCCAGGTCTCAGGTGTTACGGGTTGACCGTCAGATTAATCAATTGTGCTTCCCGCTGTGCCAGCTTGCTGTTCTTTAGCCGCTCAAAACTCTGCTCATTGCTGTGTGCATCGCTCCTCTGCCCTACGTAGTTGCTCACACATCTGTGCCCCCTGACTTATTGGAAAGTTGGGTCAAGCAAATATAAACAGAACTCCACTCTGTCTACACAATGTAATAAAACAACGTCTTTTGTGTATCGGAATTTTAACATTTCACACCGGTTTGGAACTTCTGGATCCCATGAGTAGCCAGGCTTGTCAAACTGTATTATCAGATATTATTGGCAAGAGCATTCCATCTAAACTATGAGTATCCCATTCAACGCCAAAAGCAATACCGTATACAAACTCAGTATACGGCGAACAGACAATAATACAGTGCAAAATAAAGATATGTTGTGTACAAACGGAGCGTTACTTATTTACAGGTCTGTACGAGTTTATCGTACCAACATAATATCCCGAAGTATGAAAAATAAGAAGATGTGTTACCCTTTCTAGCAATCTAGTTGGTGGATGAACATCTAAACACCTAAATTTTTATTTAAAGCTTTCGTGACTGCAGGGATTCATATTCTTGGTTCTTTCGGTAAAGTCACGTAGAAGGGAAACAATAAAATAATAAAAATATAAAACAATACAATTCTCACGACGTTTCGACTGCAACACAAGCAATCATCATTAGGTGTGAAAACCACATCAAGAAAAACAATTCTAATATAAGACAATTTTATTGCTTTATATTTTTATTATTTTGTTTCCCTTCTACGTAACTTTACCGAAAGAACCAAGAATATCTAAACACCTGTTTTATTGCCAGAGATGGTAAAACCTATTCTTTTTTTCACACTTTGATACTGGCTGCAAGGTCCCATCATAAGAACCCGAAACCGCACTCAACACTCTTCTGGCTCATTATTAAGCACCGCATTGTTAGGGGCTACGGCACGCATTTGGTGGCCACGCGGCCCTAGAGTGCGCCTCGCTGGCCTTTTAATAGGTGCCAATCGAAAAAGGTGGTTTATAGAACTCGTGAGGAGAGCGGTGCAGGTGAGGGGAGGCGGTGAGGAGGACGCTGGCGTACCTTTCAAGTTTCAAGTTGCATTTATTAGGTATAGCCCTGTGAGCCATGCGGCTCTTAAGTCGGGTGCAACCGCAACAAACAAAATATGAATACAGAACATCCCAAAGCGACGACGCGGAACAGAAACATCCTGGAATTCAACCAGCAAATATTCCACGCAAACAAATTATTAAAACGCTGTGTGCAAAAATCACATTGTGGTGCAAGCCAACAACAACAACCAAAAGACAATTGAGATTAACCATATGTTTTCGAATTTCCAAAATAAAGCTGCAAAAACAATGTAACAACAGTAATCATAGGAACTGTGATTTTAAATTTAACAATAAACGATATACATAACACGTATGACAAAACCTGCAGCCATAGCTGGCAGCACGACACTCCCAGTGTATGATATGTGAGTGAGTCAGCAGCAGCGTGAGTGTATGATGTGTGAGTCAGCGCACGATGTGTTAGTCAGCGCATGATAAGATTGAATCTCTACCTTCGGGGCTCCTCCAGAAACAACGAAAAGCCACTTCGTGTGGCCACGTGTAATGTTCGAACGCTCACTGCAGAGGAGAGGCTGCCACTCCTCTGTTGGGAGCTGGACCGGTACCGCCTGGATCTCTGTGGCATTCAGGAGGTCCCGTGGACTGGTTCTGGCTCCTGCCACCATGAGGGGTGGACAGTCCTCTACTCGGGGCAGCAGACTGCCAAACAACAGGGTGTGGCTCTTCTTTTGAACAAAAGAATGAAGGGTGCGTGGGAGTGTGGCGGTGAGGTGTGGGAAGCTGTAAGCCCCAGGCTACTTTGGACTCGCCTTCCCATCAACCGGAGGCGAGGAGTGGTGGTCGTGGTTACTTATGCCCCCACCGAAGACGAATATCCGTGGAGGGATGCAGGCAAAGCCGATGAGTCAGATGCCTTCTATGACCTCCTGTCACAGGTGCTGGATAAAGTCGCCTCTTGGGATAGAGTCATCTTGTTGGGTGACTTCAATGCCCGAGTTGGTCATGATGCTGGCACCTGGTCTGGAGTGATTGGAGGGCATGGGCCAGGTCAGCTCAATAACAACGGTAGGAGGCTGCTAGAATTTTGTGCAGCCCATGGGCTTGTAATTACCAACACGCTGTTCCAGCATCGGCGCATCCACACATCATGGATGCATGCTGGGTCCAAGCAAGAACATCTGCTGGACTACATAGTGATGGACCAGCAGACGCGAGCCCATGTCCTTGACACCAGGACCTACCGTGGAGCTGATCTGCCCTCTGACCATCGACTAGTCATCTGTAAGATGCGCCTGCCATTCTTCCACTCCGGTAGTGGGTGTACACCCAGGACCCCATTCCAACCTAAAGTGGCCTGGTCTCAGTTATCTGATGAAAGTTGCAAGCGGGAATTTCATCATCGCGTGTGGCTGGGGTTGGCATCGTCCCCCACTCCTCCTGATGTCGAGGGTAAATGGGCGAGGTTTAGGACTGTGACTCATGCAGCTGCAATGGCTGCTTTGGGTACGCGGTCCAGACCTCCCCAGAGACCCTGGCTGACAGAGGAGGTGTTCAGGATGGTTGAGAAAAAGCGACAGGCCCACTGTCATCGGCTACAGAATCCCACATCAGAGAATGAGGAGGCTTACCGCAGCCTTCGCTCGGAGGTTCGGAGAGCCGTGAGGCGCTGCAAGGATGGGTGGTGGTCGCGGGTTTCTGAGGAGATGGAGTCTGCCTCAGTGGCCCGCGATCACAAATCTCTATTTAACTCCATCAAAAAGTAACCTGCAGCGCCACACCTATTACCATCATTAGGGGGAAAAAACGGTGATCCAATCTCCGACCCCCAGGAACAGGTTTGCAGATTTGCTGAGCATTTCTGTCCAGACCTCCCCAGAGACCCTGGCTGACAGAGGAGGTGTTCAGGATGGTTGAGAAAAAGCGACAGGCCCACTGTCATCGGCTACAGAATCCCACATCAGAGAATGAGGAGGCTTACCGCAGCCTTCGCTCGGAGGTTCGGAGAGCCGTGAGGCGCTGCAAGGATGGGTGGTGGTCGCGGGTTTCTGAGGAGATGGAGTCTGCCTCAGTGGCCCGCGATCACAAATCTCTATTTAACTCCATCAAAAAGTAACCTGCAGCGCCACACCTATTACCATCATTAGGGTAAAAAAACGGTGATCCAATCTCCGACCCCCAGGAACAGGTTTGCAGATTTGCTGAGCATTTCTGTGAGGTCCTGGGGGAGGGAAAATCCCTCAGCCAGGAAAACATCGTGGCACAAAGTGGGGATGACCCTGATGAGGCTGCAGTGCCTCAAATATTGGAAGAAGTCACCCCCTGTGAGTGGCTCGCTGAGGTGCCATCTGTTGAGGAGGTACTGAGGGCGATCCGGAGTCTGAGACCAGGAAAGGCGCCGGGTAGAGATGATCTCCTAAGCGAAATGCTGAGGGTGGCGTTTGTGCACAGACTGCCCTATATGACATCATAACAACAGTCTTGACCACTGGACAGGTTCCGCAGGATTGTAAGGATGCCCTGGTGGTCCCCCTCTTTAAGAAGAGGGGCCGCACAGACTGTAACAACTACAGGGGAATCTCACTCCTCAGTGTGCCGGGAAAGGTCCTGGCAAGAATTATTCAACATCGCCTTGCCAGGCACGCTGAGGAGAGGCTTGTGGAGCCCCAATGCGGTTTCAGGAAAGGGCGGTCCTGCACAGATGCCATATTTTCTGTCCGTCTGCTACAGCAGAGGTGTAGGGAATTCCAACAAGACCTACATCTCTGTTTTATTGACCTGGTCAAGGCCTATGATACCATCAGTAGGCCTGGGCTCTGGGTTGTTCTTCGTGCTTTTGGAGTCTCTGACCCTCTGCTCACGATCATTAAGGACCTTCATGATGGTGAGCGGGCCCGGGTAAAACTATGTGGCCAGGAGTCAGAGCCATTCCCTGTACACCTTGGGGTGCGACAGGGATGTCCTCTGGCTCCCACATTATTTAACATCTATTTTGACCGCGTAGTTCGTGAAGCCTTCAATAGCTGTACTGGGGGAATCTCCATTTCGTACAGATATAATGGGAGGCTGATCGATGCCCGGGTGCGGTCAAGGGATGGCTCCCTATTGCTCAACCACGTTATGTATGCCGATGATTTGGTAATAGCTGCTCATTCAGAGGAGGAGTTGGAGACGCTGCTGCTGACACTGGAGTGTGCCACTAAGAGATGGGGCCTTACCATCAGCCCCACCAAAACTAAGCACCTGCCTGGGTATTTTGTACCATCAGACACTCCACCCCCACAACCCCCAATCGGTGATGGGGCAGTTGTGGAGAGAGTGGAGAGTTTCCCATACCTGGGCAGTGTGCTTATGACCGGCTCCAGTTTAACAGCAGAGGTCTCACTCCGAATCAGTCGAGCGGCAATATCTTTTCATCGGTTGCGTAATGGTGTGTGAAAGCTACCTGGTCTGTCGCTCCGCACTAAGCTTCAGGTCTTCTCGGCCACGGTCATTCCCTCCCTTCTCTACGCTTGCGAAACGTGCCCCCCCCTAATGGAA